CAGGAACTCGCCCAATCCCAGGTGCTCCCCGGCACGGCCGCAGCATCGCGCCGGCTCCGCGGGGCTCCGGCCACCAGGAACTCGCCCTTCTCCGCGCTGCGAGGGGGCTAAGACTCTGCCTTATATAAAAGGCAGCCTGGAATATTACTTGAATAACAATGATAGTTTGTAATTTCAGACAACTATTAAGTATGTACAAACTCCAAAATACATATTGTGATACATCTATGCTGTAAGCACCGTAAAATACTGAACTGTAGATAACCTAAGCTGTCAGTAACTCGCCCTTCTCCGCGCTGCGAGGGGGCTAAGACTCTGCCTTATATAAAAGGCAGCCTGGAATATTACTTGAATAACAATGATAGTTTGTAATTTCAGACAACTATTAAGTATGTACAAACTCCAAAATACATATTGTGATACATCTATGCTGTAAGCACCGTAAAATACTGAACTGTAGATAACCTAAGCTGTCAGTTTGCAAATCTTATGCACCAAGACAGCAGTCTTGATACTTGGATGTGCTGTGAACATGCATATCAAACATGTCAACAAACCCACAGAATTAACACGATCCTTGCTAGTTCTGGCTAGTTATTATTTTGCTTGTGCATTATACTCGTTTCATCCACCATTTTGTCTCTTCCTGATGCTCTCTCCTCTTCCATCCTGCAAGCTGTTTGAACTAGGCTTACTGTAGTGTCTACATTACCTGGCACAAGAGGGCTCGGAGGCTCTACTGCCAAACAATCAGCACATCAATCAGGGATACACCGAGTCCTTTAAGACGCTCCAGCATTAGAGAGCAGCACATGCACAATCCATCAGGACTGAAACTGACCCTTTATGCTACCAGCGTGCTAGATGTGACACGAAGTAGCCATCAAATAAAGCTTAAAAATCTAACATCTGCAATGTGATACATGCTGGTGCTGAGGAGGCATAAATAAAAATCATTTTGGAAAGGTAAACAGAAAGAAGCTCTAAGTGCCAGGACTTGTACCTCAGTGTTCAGAGATATTCCTCCTACAGCAGATCCCAACAGCGTAACAAGAAGCTGCTTTCAAATAGACTGTCTGTGCAAGACCCCTCTCACTTTTGGCAAAAAAGAGCAAAGGCAAGATGGTGAAATAAGAGGATAAACATCTAATACATTTTTATTTTAAGTCTTTCATGTATACGAAAATACTTAAAGCATGTCAAAATGACAGATTGTGTCAACTGCAAGTGTAAAGAGCTGAGAGCACTACTGAAATTAATGGGGAACCAACTCTCAAATTTGTGTCACTGTTTAAAACTATTTTATCTGACCTAATGATTCATTGGCAACAAATGATATTGAAAATGCAAGCTTAGCTCTGTTTCCTATATGAATATGCATTTTGGACTTCCTTGCCCAAATCAAATGCTTTATCTCCCTGTGTCAGAGGGAGCTCACTAAAATTTGCATCATTCAGAATAAGTTATCGCTCACAAGCTACTTGGCAGAAATCCCTCCTTCCGGATTTGTCTCTATAACATTTTTAGTATAAAACTTTAGCTTTAAAACTGCAACACAGATACTGTATCCAAAAAAAAGTGTTGGCATTTGGGGATTACTTGGCTCTCAAGTAAAATCAGGAGAGGTGCGCAGTCTTAAACCTGCTGATCTAAATGAAGAGAACATAAGATCAGGTCCTTGGAGGCATGAACTTGGCTGGAGAACTCATTTGAGAAAAGCTCCAATTAAAAAGGAAAAGCAAACAAACAAACAAACAAGGAAGTCAAGTTGAAAGGAAAACCACAAGAAGATAAAGGATGACAACAGTCAAGTTATTTTCAAGTATATGAGGGAAAGATGTCAAACACTGGTTATAATTTGTGGAGTCTAACAGCCACACTCTTTTAGTACAAAGGCAGGTTAGGAACATTTGGACAGGTGTGGAAAGATTATCTTTTGTTAAAGAAAACTTGTGCAGAAGCAAAACATTCAAACTCCTAAATGGTCAGAAGAGACAGAGAGCACTAAGTCAATTCCTTTTTACAGCCCCAGCTGCACAGGAGCAGCAAAGACACCAAGAAGGAATGCGATATGAAAGACTGGGAAGTTATGTCAGATCTACAGCCTGCAAAAGTCAGACTGTGAGCTGCAAAACTATTAGCAGAGCATAAATTCATAGACAGTTATCCAGAGACGCACTATAACTGAAGTACAAGCACTGGCTCATGTGTTGGGCACAGCTCTGTGCAGATCAGTGGATGAGCTGCACAAACCTGTGCTTTCAAGGAGCCCACTAGATAAATCGTGTTCTTGGTGGCAGGGCTCTATGAAAGGCATGGGAAACACTGTGGGCTTTAACGAGGTCAGGATGCAAAGGATTGCTTGGCTCATTTGGCTGCAACGATCCTATTTCTCACACTCTCATAAAGGAGCAAGATTCACACACTACCTACTACAGTGAGACCCAAACACCAGAGGTACTGGGGGAAAATACTTTTCCTAACACATACCTCAGGACATAGCCTCAACAGACCACCAAAAATAAGTTGACCCTCCCCATTATACAGATGTCAAGCACAGGAGTATCATGCTGAATAGGCCACCAGGACCAGTAAAATGATGTGGTATCTTGAGGTCACCCACATAATCTTAGGGTCCTCCCAAACCACAGCACGAGATCACTGAAGGTTCGCACGAAGCATCGGAGGGGCAAAGTTGAAAGCGTCTGAACACCAGATTTCCAGCACTAAGGAAGCTGCTGTCAGATTTATGCTGAAGCAGATTAACAGCAATACCATGTGCTCAGGAGCAAAACAGCCTCACTGAACGCCCACGCTCCATGTGAAACTTCCAGCGGCTGACAGGCGGCACTTGACAGCTCCGAGAAATCTGCGCTGCCTCCACACGAAGAGGAGACTGAATAAACCCCTGTGCAGCTCAGCCTGCATGAACGGCCACTAGGTTTGAACATTACTGTCTTCAGGGTATTTACAACATTGGTATTCATAATAGTACAAACCCTGCTGTGAACACACGGTTTTCACAGGACATTGGAGTGGGACTAATGGCTCTATATTTGGTTCCTTAATCCACCACACAGGCCTCTGGGTGACCTTAGACAAGTAGCAATCTGCATAAGAAAGAACTAATGCTTTTGCTAAGGTAATAGGAGTTTGAGTTTGCTCAGCACCAAAAAGATGACATTTACAATCCCGGCCCTGAAGCTCCAGGAAACTGTGAGTTCTTCCACATCAAAAAGTCAAAATTTAAAGCAAATAAACTGAAATCAATTAAAATTAAATGGCTTGAAAAATAAACTCATCAAACCCTGGCCTGTAGGTATTCTGCTAACAAGCTTACAAAGGATTTGCCCAGAGGCAGCCCACCCTCCTGTATTAGCAGCCAATCTATTGTTGGGCATCTGGTGTTAGGGTTATCCTACTAATACAGACAGTAGGAACATGGAGAGCTATTAATACAGCAAAGAAAGTATCTTCATAACAAGCACTGCTATCTTATTCTAAGACATGCTATACTAAGACAGCAAAAACATAGCCAGAGATGTTTCCCTACCACAAGCAGGTTGGGTACATCCATACCTACATCCATCTACTGCTTAGCTCTTAAACCAACATCACAAAATCAGACAAGACTTGGAAAAGGGAGTTAAAAAAAAAAAAAAAAAAGGAGGTGGGGAGAATCCAAGTGTTAAAAAAAGTATTTATTTTATAATCACAAAGGTGAATGGCAATTGCTCTTGGATGAGGAAGTGCTGCTGTTTTTGAAGCTGCACACAAACCCAGTCCCAAATAAAGAATCTCTCATCCAGTTTTAGCTACTGTAATAGAAGACTGAAGATTGCCTTGGCTAAACAAATGATTTGTAAGATAAGATTTGTATCTTATGGCACTGACTTGCCAAGAATTGAAAAGAGACAGGGTTTTCAAGGCTCTTCAAGTCAGGCTCTCCCTTCCTCTCATGGGGACAAGTTCAGCTCTCTGCAGGCTATAGCTTTTCATCTTCACTCTTGATCCATAGCAGACCAAAGAAAGTTGTTGTCTATGCTCAGTGAGGAAGATAATGGAAAAAGCAGCAGATTAAAAAAAGAATCCCAGGGAGCCTAGAGTGAAATGCTCAGAGATCACAACACAAAGACTTGCAAGAATCTGTAAGCAGAACTCTGAGATACATGCCCAAGTGCTCACTGCCCAGTTCCTTGAAACACAAGGAGCAAGCCCTGCAAAAGAATACTTGGCACACCTTGAAAATCAGTGGCAATGTCCAGAATGCCACCTATGCCCTTCAGCTGTATGTGCTAAGGAAATTACCATAGCCACATCATCACCAGCCACCAGCAAAGGAATCTCAATCACACCATGAAGCTTCATTTGGAAATTACAAGAGACAGACAGAAAGAGAAAAAAAAAAGTATGAAAAAGTATGGAAGATTTTTTCCAAAAGCTCCCCATTTTGCACAAAATGAGAGTTCAGTGTGATTGAGAATTGAATTCTAGATATAGATATCCTGCCATACTGATTGGAATGAGAAAAACTGAGAGTTTCCAAAAATATCCAGGCTGAAGCTACTTCATTACCACTCTTTAATGATTTTTGCTCAAATCAAGAAACTCTAGACAGAATGGTATTTTGTGATAATGCAGAGTGTCTGACCCTAGTTAAACTAACTGTCTAACCCCATTCACCCAAACATTACTTTTTTTTTTCTGGTGGTATTACTCTTACATGTTATAGAAGTTATTTTAATTAAACTATTAAAATATTTACATGCTTATTCTGATTTTTCATTTTTTTCAAGAATTGAGTGGAGGCTGGAAGACAGCAAGAATTAAACATCTGTTCCCACAACTTGCCCATAAGATTGCCATGAAGACTAGCCAAAACTACAGCTCCCCACCTCCCCCTGCCCTATGTCAAATAAGACAGAGGTTGCAGCCCTTGGCTGCAGGAGAAATAGAAGTGCTGAGCGTTACTCACTGCCATGACGAGCTCAAAAGGATATTTGTAGACCCGAACAGGGGATTGATATTTCTGCACCATTTTTATTACACACCTGTAACAGAAAAACAGATCTTAGATCCTTTATATGAAACATACCTTTACTGCAACATGTGCTAGCAATTTTCAACTACAAATCTACTGGAAGTCTTTACCACAGACAGGGAGGAGGAGACATATTAGGGAAAATATCTTGCCCTGTGTCACTCAGCAAGTCAGTAGCAAAGAGGGAATGAACTGCAGCCCGCAGTTCCAGGGAACAGCACTGCCCTTCGCCATGCCCCAACACCACTGCAGTGAATTCCACATAGAGCTTAAACAAAACTCATGATAAGAAAGCACAAAACAGACGTCAAGTCAGAATGAACTGACTGCACCCTGGAGAAGGAAGCCTCTCAGAGCTTAAATTTTTAAAGGAGGGAAAAAAAAATCACAATTTTTCTGCATTATGTTTGCTATAACCATGCAAAATCCCTTATGTGGCAACAGTTTCCAGTACTAAGTCTTGGCTTCCTGTATGTTCCCATTTTAAAGACTTTTGTGCATACAGTAGCATCCAGCTGTTTTAACCCCACTAAAAGAAAGAAAAAGGAAACAGCATGCTCAGAGAACATGCCTGATGCTTAGCTAGCAATCACATCCCACTGACTGGATGCCCACTGCTTCCAGCTGAACCAGGAAAATAACTGCATGCAATGGTAACAATTCAGTCCTCAGCATTTCGTTTCTCCAAGCCACCTCTCACTGTTCTCATCAGGATTCCTCCCTCAGACTCTCTTGCCAGGGTTTTAACCCTCAAGCATGCACCAATAATCAGCATCTGAAGGAGGCATGCAAAATATCTAAAATGTTCTCAAGTCACTTACTGTAAGTCCCTCAGGATGTTGCCCCTATTAATATCATCTCCAAACATCAGAAACACAAAAGACTAGGCTGAGACACTATGTTGATTCCACCCCACTCAAATTCCACTGTGAAGCAGACACAGCCCTTGGGGACATGATGCAGAGCAGCACTGAACTCAACAGAGCAAAAGGCAACTTATCTCTGACATCGAGCCAAAAACTGCCATGGAAACACAAATTAAAAGACAAAAACAGTGATATGTTTTCCTCCAGGAAGACTTCCACAAAACAGTACTGTGCAAGGAAATCTAAGCATTAAGCAAGGGAAATGGAAAGGGGAGGGAAAAAGAAAAAAAAAAAGGGTACCTGAGAATGAGGGATGTTTGTAGATGGGTCTCTCAATCAGATGATCAGGCCTTGCTGAGTTGCAGAGAGTCTCATTGGTCCTAAAAGCCAGTCCATGTAGAACAAGTAAACAGAAAAGAAAATGCATCAGTAGAGCATCCAGCTCCAAGTGAAGAGAGCAGCGCAGGGGCGAGTGAGCACCCAGGAAGCCCAGGCTGATATCAGGTAACAGATACTCGAGCCAAGAGAGGCACGGGGCACCTTGTAACGCAACGCTGTAATATGATTATGTAACCCTGATACCCAGGCTGCGCGGGGACCTTCCGAGGAAGTGCAAATATAGCAAGAGAAGCCTCATCAAACCTTCTGCCAGGATCTCGCTACCAGTTAGGAGCTTGCCTTCGATACCAGAGCTCTATTGCTCCCTACTTCCCTAGCTGAGGGAAATTAGAGAAAAAGGGTGAGAGATGATCATAGCCACAAGAGCTGTGGAAGACAGGATCGCTGACAGCTCAAACTTGCCCTAAAAACACTTAAACCTTGGAAAAAGCACAGCGGCTGACCTGCTATGCCCTCCTCTTAGAACAGGACTGCAATAAAGTCATTCTGCTTTTCAAAGCAAGAGGGACTCCAGGTTCAACATCTGGAAAAAAAAAAAAAAGCACATATTAGCAAATGCAGTTCAACTGAAGAGTAGTAACACACTAAACCACAGCTTAATCATTTTAACTCTCAATACACATCAAAAGGAAGACCTATGACCATTAACCGGGAAGACCATGATCCCAGCTGGCCAAGCCCAGTCTCATTTAAAAACCTCCAAGAAGCACCTAATGCACTGAAGCAACACACCCAGATAATCATTTTAATATCTCAATCAGACACTGGAAGTATGGCACACCTGAATGCACACAACAGGGGCAGCTACCACAATTCATAAAGCATCCAGTACCACTCTAGCTGCAAGGCCAACTGCACAGAGAGTCAACAGGCTGAAGCTCTGCAAGGCCAGCTGGCCTACGGAGCCTCTTTTGCTACAATCCATACAGCAATTCACAATTAAGCAAACCTGGGAAAGCAGGGAGTTAATTACAAACCCAAGATACACCAGCTGGCAGGAGACTGAGGGAAGGAGGGCAAGCTCACCATAAAATGCAAGTAGATGAGCCCCTGGTCGTATATACATTTGCCTGCTCCAACTTCGGTAGAGCACAGAGGAAAAAAAAAACAAAACAAAAAAAACCAGCTAGCTTTAATGAGAAATAATGTAAATCCAGCACACAGAGCTACTGTTACATATTAGCTGAGCATGAAGAGTGAGGGCTCCCACGAGAAATGCAATGTACACATCACTACACATACAGCAAGGGGAAGAGGCAGCAATATTAAGTGCATGTTTCAATTTTGTTTAGAATCATTCCCTGTGTACCTGAGGGATTTTTCCATATGTTTAACTTTTATTCCATTATTATCTGTAAGAGGGATGTAACTGTCAAGAGCACAGCCAGTTGGTTGAAAATAGGAAATTGGGTTTATATATAAATACACCTAACAAATAAAAGCCCCAAACCTTCACCCTTGCTTCTCAGGCAGCCTAGCACCAAGTCATCCAACTCTTTCTACATCAGCAGTGCCTCCCCCACCTGCAGCAGCTTCTCTTCAGCTGGAGAGCCGGGACGTGGTGGGTTTTTTGTTTTATTTCCAGGACGATGGGGGGGAACAGAGCACTTCCGAAAACACCGGAGCTCCAGACTTCCAGTTCTGCTCTGTTATGACACGCAAGAGCCACAGCTGGTAACTGCGTTTCCAAAAGGGAGGCTCTTCGGGCATCAGGGGCTGCCCTCCCCTCATGGGGCAGCAACGTAGACAGCGTGGAGGAAAACAGGAGCCGTGTGATGTCTTCTCTGCCCTAAACACTTTTCCTTAGGTGGATGTTTACACAGAGCTGATGCTTTGCACATATAATAGCAAGACAGTACCAAGCAATGAGTTATTTATTAGAGCTCCTTCACATGAGCCAAGAACTTGTTCAAGTTCCCTGTACTGAAATAGCACAGGCTTTCAGTATCTCTTAGAAGTAGATAGTCTTCTCAGGCAAAAAGATTTGATCTTCCTGCTCCATCTTACACCTAAGAAATACCTACGGTGTAGGGAGTGAAGGAATATGAGCGTTTTAGAGCAGCACAGTGGAGTGGAGTCCAGCCTCCCCTTTTTACACCTTGCAGAGAGGCCTGGAGTCCTGCTGTTGGTTATAACCAGAAGACAAACACCATGAACATTCAAACAACACTCAACATGTTCTTCACAAGACAATTAAGGAACCGTTTTCTCTGACTGAGAGGAAGAGGAAAAAGGAAGAGCACAGAACAGTCTGCTCCAAAAGCTGGGGGAAGTTAGCTGTGCCCTCCATCTAATCGCAAAATAAGCTTCATGCTCTTTGCATTTTCATCTCACACTTGCAAGTGGATTTTCTTGCCAAAGAACCATGGCTGTCCCTTCACACTGCCACACACTAAATGCTAATCAAAATCTAGCACCCTGCAGCAGCAGACCATCTTTCTTGAAGAGAAGTCACGTTCCTCCACATGCCACTCTCGGAGAAACACCCCTTCTCCTCGCCATTCCACAGGGAGCGATGCTACATGCCTTTTTAACCAAAAGCACAGCAATACACATCTAACAGTCATTAAATTCAACTTAAAAAACGGAGACCTGCTCTGGGTCATCTCAACACACGGACCAAGAGCCGGTGCCATCACCAGCTCCCCGCACGCAGCTGTGCAGTCCCCTTTTGGCACCACACACCAGCCCCATCCCCTCCTCACGCCTCCACGGAGCCGATTCTGCTCCTTGGAGGAGTCGAGCCAAGTGACCCAGAGCACGGGAGCACACACACTTAGGTCAACCCTACCCTAAAGCCAAGCGTTTTATATAGAAGCTGACCCAAATCCAGCGGGGCATTCGCAGGGACTTACCGTGGGCAGCCGCGGCGCTCGGGAGCACCGTCCGGGGGTGCCGGGCTCACCGGGGCCAGCTGGGACCGTGGGCCATTAGCCCCAGCCAGGGGCCGGCGACTCCCCTCCCCGTTAGCCCAAGCCAAGGGCGGCCGTT